AGGAGGGTGTGGCTGCCGAGCCCCCCCACTGCGGGCCAAACTGCCACTTAGCCTCAGGCCGCCCCGTGATTATAGGCGCCGGGGGTTGAAGGAGGAGGAGAGAGAGGAGGGAAGAGGTGGACAGACACCTCGTTCAGACACCTCTCCTGCGGTGCCTCCTTAATCCGGGAGCCCCCTCTGACCTCCGGGGAGAAGCGGGACAGCGCTGGGAGGGGTGGGGTGGCAGAGCCAGACACACGGGGGCTGCGGACACAGGCAGATGCCGTGTAGACCCCGGGCGCCTTGCTGCCGGCCGGACCCTGGCATTCGGGAACGAGCTGTAGAGTGGCCATGACGTAAGATGGTAAAAAAACTGTCTATTTTTATGGACCGTGACATCGCGCTGGCCGAGGAAACGTTAGGTTCTCGCCAAACGGTCTTGTCGCCTCTCAGGAGGATACTTACTGGTTAATTATGCTGTGCCAGGTGGGCGCGGGGGACTCTTTCCCGTTATCCCGCTTAGTCATGGCAGTGAGCCCTGGAGGTAGGCGTTATTACGGCCCTGAGTTTACAGGCAGGGAACTGGACACATGGACACATTAGGTAACTTGCCCAAGGTCACGTAGGCAGTTCGAGTGGGGACTCCCTCCACCCCCGCCAGCCTGACCCCGTCCCCTCTGTACCCCGGTGTGCTTCGCCAGCAGCGGGTGCTGATGCCCTCAGCCAGGCGGGGGGGCCAGAGCACCCTTGCCGAGGACTCGAAATGCCCCCCCCAGCCCCCAAGCAGAGCCGAGCAGGTGTGATCTCATTCCCTGAGGGTGCTGTGGTGTGCAAAGCTCGGGAGGCTGCCGGCTACACTGTACTAGCGGACTTAGAACTCTCTTTCTTGTTCCTTTATTTATTTATTTATTTTTTACATTTTTTAAAGTTCGTGATTTGTAGAAACAGAATAGTAGGGCAGGGGTGGGTAGAGAGAGGGAGACAGAGGATCTGAAGTGGGCTCTGCACTGACAGCACAGAGCCCAATGTGGGGCTCAAGTTCACAAACGGTGAGATCATGACGAGCCCACGTCGGATGCTTAACTGATGGAGCCACCCAGGCGCCCCTGCTTGCATTTCTAAATTACTTTTATCGAGGGGCGTCTGAGTGGCCCCGTATGTTAAGCATCCAACTTGGGCTCAGGTCATGATCTCACAGTTCATGGGTTCGAGCCCCACGTCGGGCTCTGTGCTGACAGCTCAGAGCCTGGAGCCTGTTTCAGATTCTGTGTCTCCCTCTCTCTCTGCCCCTCCCCTGCTTGTGCTCTGTCTCTGTCTCAAAAATGAACATTTAAATAAATTAATTACCTTTATTGAAGTGAAAATTTACATGCAATTGAAGACACACCTCCATGTCCATGTCTGTGAGTGCTAACAAGTCCCCACACCCGTGGAATAACAGCCCCATCAAATTCCTGTCACCAACTTCCCTTCCTTCTCCACACCTCCCGCCGCAGGCAGCTACTGGGCTCAATTTCTACCCAAACAGATTGCATTTGCCTGTTTCTGGACTTGATATAAGTGGAGTGTAAGTATTACTTCCGTGTGTCTGGCTGCTTTCAGCATAATCGCTTTTAACTTCACCCAAGTTGTATGTTCCCGGCTCACTTCCATTTTTTTGTACCGGTAGTTTTATTGAGATAGAATTGATGTACCATAAAATTCACCTTCTTCTCATTTATTTATTTATTTTTTAATGTTTACTTATTTTTGAGAGAGAGAAAGCACAAGCAGGGCAGGTGCAGAGAGAGAGAGAGGGAGACACAGAATCCAAAGCAGGCTCCAGGCTCTGAGCTGTTAGCACAGAGCCTGACATGGAGCTTGAACTCTTGAAACTGTGAGTTCATGACCTAGGCTGAAATCAAGAGTTGGACACTTAACCGACTGAGCCACCCAGGTGCCTTTCTTTTATTTTTTTTAAAAGTTAAAAAAAAATTTTTTTTTAAGTTTTAAGAGGGAGGTTTTTGAGTGCGGAGCCTAACATCAGGCTCAAACCTATGGACTAAGATATCATGACCTGAGCCGAAGTCAGGAGTGGGATGCTTGGGGCACCTGGGGGTCTCAGTTGCTTAAGCGTCTGACTTCAGTTCAGGTCACGATCTCACGGTTCTTGAGTTTGAGCCCCGTGTCAGGCTCTGTGCTGACAGCTCAGAGCCTGGTTCCTGCTTCTGATTCTGTGTCTCCTTCTCTCTCTCTGTTCCCTCTGCCACTCATGCTCTGTCTCTCAAAAATAAATAAATGTTAAAAAAAAAAAAAAAAGAGTTGGATGCTTAACTGACTGAGCCACCCAGGGGCTCCTCAGTATAACATTTTCAAGATTCACCCATGTGGCAGCATGTGCCGAAGCGCCATTACTTTTTATGGCTGAGTAGTATCCATTGTAGGGATTGTAGGAATGTAATACATTTTCTTTATCTGTCCATCAACTGATGGACATTGAGTGGTTTCTATGTTTTGGCTATTTGAATACTACCGCCACGAACATCCACGTACAGGTCTTTGTGTGGACAATTCTTTTGGGTCTCTACCTAGGAGCGGAATTGTTGGGTTCCCATATGGTAACTCTACAATTGACTTTTTCTCTTTTAATTAAAGGAAAATTGAGAGGCGCCTGGGTGACTCAGTCAGTTAAGCGTCCGACTTCAGCTCAGGTCATGATCTCACGGTTCATGGGTTCAAGCCCCGTGTCGGGCTCTGTACTGACAGCTCAGAGCCTGGAGCCTGCTTCAGATTCTGTGTCTTCCTCTCTCTCTGACCCTCCCCTGCTCACGCTGTCTCTCTCTCTCTCTCTCTCTCCTAGAAATAAATAAAACATTAAAAAAATATTAAAAAAAAAAAAGGAAATTGACACACAACATTACCTTAGTTTTAGGTGTACAACACTGTGATTGGACAGGTCTATGCATTATCCACAAGTGTAGCTCCAACCTGTTACCACACATGCCGCCATTACAGTGTCACTGGCTGGAATCTCTGTGCTGAACCTTTCATCCCCACGACTCCTCCATTCCATACCTGCAGGCCTGGACCACCCTCTGCCCTTCACCTGCTTTGCCCCTCCTCTCCCCCCTGCCCTCTGGTAACCACCAGTTTGTTCTCTGTTTTCTAGATCTGTTTGTGCTTTGTTTGTTTTGTTTTTTACATTTTACATGTGAGATCACGTGATATTTGTCTTACTCTGACTTATTTCACTTAGCATTATACCCTCTAAATCCATTGATGTTGTCGCAAATAGCAAGATCTCATCCTTTTTTTTACAGTTGAGCAACATCCCTGTGTGTGTGTGTGTCTGTACCACTCTTTTTTGTCTGTTCAATCAGTGGACATTTAGGCTCTTTCTGTATCTTGGCTATTGTAAATTATGCTGCTATAAACATAGGGGTGCATGTATCTTTTTGAATTGGTGCTTTTATTTTCTATGGGTAAATACCCAGTAGTGAAATTACAGGGTTGTATGATATTTCTCCTTAAAAAATTTTTTTGAAATGTTTATCCTTTGTTGAGAGAGACAGAGACAGAGCGTGAACAGGGGAGGGGCAGAGAGAGAGAGGGAGGCACAGAATCCAAAGCAGCTCCAGGCTCTGAGCTGTCAGCACAGAGCCAGAGATCCACGAGGTCATGACCTGAGCCGAAGTCGGGCGCTCAACCGACTGAGCCTCCCAGGCCCCCCCAGAGCACTGTTATTTTAAACACACAAGCCACAATCTGGTTGAAAGTGTTTGTGATACATTTATCTGCTAAGGGATTTGTCTCCAAAATATACAAAGAACTCAATTCCATGACAAGACATCATTTTTCAAAAATTACAAAAAGACTACAAGAGACAGTTTGCAAAAGGAGATGGTACAAATGGCCAGCAAGTACACGAAACACGGTCAGCGTCGTTAATCGTCGGAAGCGACGAGCGAAGAGAGCGACAGTGATTCAGCCCAGTCAGCAGAATGGCTAACGCTGAAGGGATGGAGGACATCAAATGCTGGCCAGGCCGCGGAGCAACTGGAAGTCACACACACGGATTCTGGAAACCAGCTTGGCAGTGTCTTCTGAAGTGAAAATGCACTTTTTTTTTTTTTTTTTTTTTTAAATTTCTAGGAGAGAGACAGCGTGAGCAGGGGAGGGTCAGAGAGAGGGAGTCACAGACTGAAACAGGCTCCAGGCTCTGAGCTGGCAGTCAGCACAGAGCCCCACGCGGGGCTCGAACCCACGAACCGCGAGATCATGACCTGAGCGAAAGTCGGACGCTTAACGGACTAAGCCACCCAGGCGGCCCGAAAATGCACTTCTTACAGGACCTGGCAACGCCAGGGCTGCCTAGTTACCCCAGAGAAAGGAAAACAGCTTATCCACACGAAGGCTCATGCAGGAATGTTTATAGGAGCCTTATCGCGATAGATTAGAAGCAACCCAGATGTCATCAAAAGGAGAGATAAGGAAATTTGCATTTAAAATAAGAGGGCACAGGGGTGCCTGGGCGGCTCAGTCGGTGCAGCCTGGGACATCGGCTCAGGTCATGATCTCCCGCGAGGGTCTATGCTGACACCTCAGAGCCTGGAGCCTGCTTCGGATTCGGTGTCTCCCTCTCTCTCTCCCTCTGCGCCTCCCCTGATCGTGTTCTGTCTCTTTCTCTTTCAAAAATAAACAGACATTAAGAAAAAAAAAAAAAAAAAGGAGGCATTATTTTGTCTTTTAAAACCTGAGAGTTTACGGCTTGCTCCCGGGCTGTAGGTCCCCGGAGGGCGGGCTCGCTCACTGTTGAGGGCCCGGCGCCAGGCCCCGGGACACTGCGCGGTGCAGGGGCGCACGTTCCCCAGGCGCCGGCCCCGGGCCCTCGCCCCAGCCCGGCCCCTGCCGCCGCCCGCCAGCAGCCACCGGAGCCAGCGTTCGCTCGACGGCCGTGCGGCGGCGCGGGCGCAGAGGTGAGGCCGGGAGACCCGCCCCGGGGGCGGCCCCGAGCGCCCTTCCCGCCCCGCCCCGCCCGCCGCCCGGGTGTGGGCCCGGTCCCTGCGCCGCTCCCTCGGCTGGCGGACCCGCGCGGGCGCCGGCTCGGGCTGCGGGGTGAGGGGCCCGGGAGGCGCGCGGCGGGCGGGCCGGGGCCGGGGCCGCGGGGAGGGGGCGGCGGGCGGGGCGGGGGCCGCGGGGCGCGGGCTCAGCCGCGCGCCGAGATTTCAGGGTTCCCCTCGCGGGCGGAGCGCGCGGGACTTCCTCATTCCCGCTGGACACCCCCCCCTCCCGGCCCGGCCCGGCCGGAGCCCCGGGGTCCCCGGAGACCCCCCGCCTTGCCCCGGCTTCCGCTCCGCCCCGGCTCGGGGCCCCGCGGGCCTGGCGGGAGCTGCCGGGCGCGCCGGGGACCGGGCGGGAGGCGGGGCTCAGGGATCCTGGATGCGGGACCGGGGACCGGGTAGAGGTCAAGGCGGGTCGGCGGGCGGGGCTGAAGGGGAAGGAGAGGAAGGAGGGCGCCCGTGGGGGTGCGGGGGTGGGGGCCCGAGGGGGCGGGACGGGGGCGGCCGGGTCCTGCGGGGCAGGACACCTCCCTGAGGCCTCCCCGTGCTCCCAGGATGGCGGCGACTCCCCAGAGCCCCTTCCCCGCTGGGGGCGGCCTGGACTCCAGCCAGTTACACATGGAACCCGACGAGCTGGACACTCTGAGGGAGGGCGAGGACCCAGGTAGGCAGCGGCGCGGCCCTCGGGGAGGGCGAGGGGCTGAGACCTCCTGGGGTCCCCATTCTCTGCACCTTCTCCGCTCCCAGCTGACCGGATGCACCCCTTCCTGGCCGTCTACAACCTGCAGCCGCTGAAAATGCACCCCTTGGTGTTCGCCCCTGGGGTCCCCGTCACAGCCCAGGTGGTGGGAACGGAGCGATACACCAGTGGATCCAAGGTGGCTGGGCCCCCACTGGGGAGGCGGGAGGAGGGAGGGCTGGCCGGAGAGGGGGGTGGGCTGCGCCCCAACCAGGGGGTCCTGGGGGACAGCCACTGAGTCCCCCCACCCGCAGGTGGGGACCTGCACACTGTATTCTGTCCGCTTGACCCACGGCGCCTTTACCTGGACAACCAAGAAGAAGTTCCGTCATTTCCAGGAGCTGCACCGGGACCTCCTCAGACACAAAGTCTTGATGAGTCTGCTCCCTCTGGCTCGGTGAGGGGACCCGTCCCCTTCCTGTCGCGAAGGAGGTGCTCCCATCCCTCCCCTGCCCCAGCCGCGCCCCTGCTTTGTGCCTGTCGCACCCTTTCCGCGCCCCGGCTCTGGCCCCTGCGGGGGGCGGGGGGGGGGCCCTTCCCCGACTCCGGTTACCAGGAAACCTTCCCAGCCCGGCTCTCCCTGTCCGCGCTCCTGTGCCAGGATCTCAGCCGGGCCCGGTGCCCAAAATGCCCTTGGCTCTTTCCTTTCTTTCCTTGTCTCTGTCCTCAGGGCGGGGGGCCTTTGCCAGCCTCCGGGCCTCCCCCGCGATGCCCCGCGCTCGGCTTCCTGGCTCTTACGTGCCCCTCTTCCCGTCTCTTCCGCAGCTTCGCCGCCGCCTATGCCCCCGCCGGGGAAGCCGCCGACCGCCACATGCCCTCCCTGCCTCGCGCCGGCCCCGAGGGCTCCTCCAGACACGCGTCCAGCAAGCAGGTGCGGCCGGACACCACCTCGCCCGGAAAGGCGTTTGGGGCGCCCATGCCTCCGGTCCCATGTGTCTCTGTCTCCTCCCTGCTGCAGAAATACCTGGAGAATTACCTCAACCGCCTCCTGACCATGTCTTTCTACCGAAACTACCACGCCATGGTAGGCCCGGGGCTGGTCCCCGAGCCGGGGCGGCGGGGTCACCGGGCCCCCGGGGGACAGAGGGCCGGCGGGTCCGAGGAGCGGGCAGCCAGTCTCTCCTCTGAGCCTTTGCCTTCCTCTGCAGACGGAGTTCCTGGAAGTCAGCCAGCTGTCCTTTATCCCAGACCTTGGCTCCAAAGGGCTGTGAGTGTCTGACATCCCGCTCTGGCCACGGGCCAGCCTCGGCATCGGTCCCTGCCTGAGGATGGGGAGGCGGGCAGACAGGGGCGGGCGTGGGGCAGGGGGTCCCCATTCCTCTTCTGCCATCTCCCCGCCCCCTCCCCCGACTTCGCCCCCAGGGAGGGCGTGATCCGGAAGCGCTCGGGCGGCCACCGCGTTCCCGGCCTCACCTGCTGTGGCCGAGACCAAGTCTGTTACCGCTGGTCTAAGAGGTGAGCCCCGGAGCGGTGAGCGGGGCGGCGGCGGCAGGGGTGAGGAGGGAGATGCCAAGGGCCGGGGCAACGGACAGAGCCCTCCCGCTCCAGGTGGCTGGTGGTGAAGGACTCTTTCCTGCTCTACATGTGCCTCGAGACGGGCGCCATCTCCTTTGTTCAGCTCTTTGACCCTGGCTTCGAGGTGCAGGTGGGGAAACGGAGCACAGAGACGCGCTATGGCGTCAGGATCGACACCTCGCACAGGTAAGGCCTCCCGCGCGGGTGGACGGACAGCTGGTGGGCCCAGAGCCCGCAGCGGGGCCCGGGGGGCAGTGAGGGGAAGGAGAGGAAGCATTTCCACCCCCCCTGCCCCGCCCCCATCCACCCCCGGGCCCGCCTTGGTTTGGAACCAGGGAACTGGTCTGGCCGCATGCCTGGGACTGCTCTTGAACCCGGAGAGAGAGACGGGGTCCGGGGTCCGGGGGCCGGTACAAGCTTGGGGGAGGGAGTCCTGCTATAAGACGAAGGGCACTCGCTCACGCATTCATTCATTCGTCCCTTCAGCAAACCCGGGTGCCTGGTGCGCTGCCCCCCGCGCCGTGCCAGTGACCGAAGCGTGGGCAGGGCAGGGGCCTGCCCCGTCCGGGCGGAGTCGTGAATGAGGGACAAGGGAGGAAGTGGGAAAGGAGGGGCGGCCGCGGCTGTGGTCCATCTCGGTGTTCCTGCCCAGGTCCCTGATTCTCAAGTGCGGCAGCTACCGGCAGGCGCGGTGGTGGGGCCAGGAGATCACCGAGCTGGCCCAGGGCCCGGGCAGGGACTTCATCCAGCTTCACCGGCATGACAGCTACGCCCCACCCCGGCCTGGGACCTTGGCCCGGTGGTGAGACACTGCCGTCCCTTCGGAGCTCGTCTGCGGGGCGCCGGCCCCTCCCCGTGTTCTGACTCCTTTCCTTAATCCTCCCTGAACTCCTCGGACCCCTTGTGGCCTCCCTGCCCCTTCGACTTGCCCAGTCTCCGCGGCCGTCTGACCTCCAGCCACACTGTTATCTGCTTTCCCTCTGATCTCTCTGACCTTCCTGCGCGCGAATCTCCAGTCATCTCTGACCCTGAGCTCTCTGACCTCCTAGGACCTTTCCAACTGCCTTCTGTCACCCTGGCTCTCTCGCTGCCTTACGATCTCTTAAAATCTCTCTGATTCACCTGTACGTTCCATACGCGTTGGCTAAGCACCTACCACGTGCCAGGCCCAGTGACGGGAACGAGGCAGCCCGGGAGGTGGTTCAGCCACAGAATTATGGTAACGTCTGGCCATTCTGGCGGCAGACACACGGCAGCAAACACTGAGGGGAACTGCCCCCCCCCGCCCCCCCCCCGTGGGGATGCCCGCACCGGCTTGCAGAAGGCAGTGACCCTGAGGTTCACTGTAGCAAGAAAGCGTAGAAGGCTGGCCTGCGCACAGACGCTAGAAAGTCCCTGGCGTGTTTGGTGACCCTGGAAGCCGGCAGGGGGAGGAGGAGCGGCCAGAGAACAGTCTGGGGCCGCAGGGCCCAGGTGTGCCCCGCGGGCTAAGCGGAAGCGGTTGAACTTCATGGGCAGGAGCGAGTGGTGGAAGAATTTTTTTCTTGGAGGTGGTGTTGACATTCATTCGTTTCATAAGAACCGAACAGCTGACACTTCCTCAGTGCTCACTGGGCGCCGGGAACCGCGCCGGCTGTTTTACGTGTACGACTAAACCCTCTCGCGAACCCGACAAGGCAGGCACGGATGCTGTGCCCATTTTACAGATGAGACTACTGAGGCAAGGAGAAGCTGAGGAACTCGTCCAAGGTCACATACCTGGTAGGCAGTGAAGCAGGATTCACGTCTGGGTCAGGCGCCCACTCCTCACCATCATACTGGCCTATTTGTTATTGAAAAGTCGAAATGACGGGCGCCTGGGTGGCTTAGCCGGTGAGCGTCCGACTTTCGCTTGGGTCATGATCTCGCGGTTCGTGGGTTCGAGCCCCGCGTCGGGCTCTGTGCTGACAGCCAGCTCAGAGCCTGGAGCCTGTTTCAGTCTGTGACTCCCTCTCTCTCTGACCCTCCCCTGCTCACGCTGTCTCTCTCTCTCTCTCCTAGAAATAAATAAAAATATTAAAAAAAAAAAAGTCGAAATGATACGATAGGGAAGCATAATGAGTGAAAAAAGTAAGTTCTCATTCATCGCCCAGCCCTTTTACTCCCCAGCCTCACGTCGGCCCTACACCCAACACCCGTCTCTCTCAGCAGTGACCCTCACAACAGTGTCCTGTGTATCTTCTTTTCCTGTACGGTTTCATAGGCTTATGCGTATACGTTACTTTTTGGTTTAGTGTAAATGAGATCGTGAACTTGTTTTTGTGGCTTTTTCTTTTTTTTCCCACCTAATGTGCGTGTTAGAGATTAGGCATTCCAGTTCTTTCTCACTTTATCTATCTTTCTATCTTTCTATCTATCTATCTATCTATGAATCTATCTATGAGTAGGCTTCACACCCAAGCACAGAGCACAACATGGGGCTTAACCTCACAACCCTGAGATCAAGCCCTGAGTCAGACGCTGAACTGAGCCACCCGGGCACCCCAAATTCTCATTTTACAAATCTTTTTTTTTTTTCAGTTTATTAATTTATTTTGAGAGACGGAGAGAGAACATAAGCAGGGGAGCCAAATTCTCAATTTATTTATTGATTTATTATTATTATTTTTAAATGTTTTATTTATTTCTGAGAGAGACAGACAGCATGAGCAGGGGAGGGACAGAGAGAGAGGGAGACACAGAATCCGAAGCAGCTCCAGGCTTTGAGCTGTCAGCACAGAGCCCGACACGGGGCCCGAACCCATGAACTGTGAGATCATGACCTGAGCCGAAGCCGGATGCCCAACCAACTGAGCCACTTCGGTGTCCCCAGATTCTCATTTTAAATGATGCTGCGCTGAACACAGTCTTTGCCTGAGCATTTAATAGGATGTATCCCTAGAAATAGAGTTACTACGTGCATTTCATGGTATTAAAGAGTAAGTGTGTTTGATATTCTGATAGATACTGTGAAACTGTATTCTAAAAAGGCTATAACGGGCGCCTGGGTGGCTCAGTCGGTTAAACATCCGACTCTGGCTCAGGTCATAATCTCCCAGTTCGAGCCCCGGGTCAGGCTCTGTGCTGACAGCTCAGAGCCTGGAGCCTGCTTCAGATTCTGTGTCTCCCTCTCTCTCTCTGCCCCTTTCCCCCCAACTTTTCTGTTTCTCTCTCAAAAATAAATGAAAGTTAAAAATATAAAAAATAAAAATAGGCTATAACCGATGTATATCCCCAGAGTCGATTAGGATACTCATTTTCCTACATGCTAATATTAAATGTTACCAGTGTTCTTTATTTTTGCCAGTCTCGCGGATTAAAGACCTATTATTGCATTTTAATATCAGTTTCCTTCTTTACTACTGAGATTGAACATCTTTTCCTATCGTTGACTGTTTTAATTTCCTCTCTGAACTGTCAGTTCTTAATCTTTGCTCATTCTTCAGTTGGCTCGTATGTCTTTTTCTTATTGATTTGATGGAACTCTTTACGTATGATGTACTAATGCTCCCCATCTGTAGTCTTTTTCTTTATTGTGCCTTTTGTAATTTTTAACTTAGATTAAACCGGCAAATTTGCCCCCCTTTCACGCATCTGATACCATCTGATTTCTCTGATCACTCCTGATCTCTGAGCCTGCTGTCTGTCACCTTTGATCCATGGCTGTCCTCCGGTCTGCACTCTCCAGAGCCTTCTGGCTTCTGACTCCTCTGACCTTGGCTTGGCCTCCCCACCCCCAGGTTTGTGAATGGGGCAGGCTACTTTGCTGCTGTGGCAGATGCCATCCTACGAGCTCAAGAGGAGATTTTCATCACGGACTGGTGGTGAGCAGGGGAAAAGCTCAGGCAGGAAGGGGCAGGGAAGGAGCGGCTGGTTGCTTGCCCTTCACCCGCTGCCCTGAATCCCAGGTTGAGTCCCGAGATTCACCTGAAGCGTCCGGCCCATTCAGATGACTGGAGACTGGACGTTATGCTGCAGAAGAAGGCGGTGAGGAGAGAGGCAGGCGGGCGCGGGAGCGGGGTGGAGGTCAGTTAGAGGGGCCTGCGGCCTGGGAGGAGGTGAGGGAGCTGAAGCTTCCGGGGAGGAAACACATCTAACCTGGCTTGCTGTCCGGTGAGCATCACCTCCTTTTCTTCCCTAAGAGACACTGATGCCTCCCCCTTCATGTTCCTCCTCTACCCGGTGCACACTTCTCTCCCAGCACCCATTGCACTTTGTTGCGTCTCCTGGGGGTTTACGTGTCTGCCTTTCTCACGGGACTGATACCACTCGCTTCAGTACAAGGCACGGTGTCTGCCATATTGGGAACATCCCTAGATGTTCCTGGGTAGATAGACGATGGAGAGTGGGGGCCAGTCGGTGGATGGATGACGGAAAGGGAGTATAGACGGAAGGACAGGAGGGTGGAAGGGTGGACCAATGGGGGTGGTGGGTAGATGGATCATAGATGGCACATAAGTGATGAGTAAATGGCTGGCAAGATGGATGGGTGGGTGGATGGGTGGATGGGTGGATGGATGGATGGGTGGGTGGGTGGATGGGTGGGTGGGTGAGGGGGTGAACAAGGTACTCACGACTGCTAAGTTTGCCTAGGCATCAGAGCACAGTGAGCAGTGAGGGTCCCCAGGCTGAGTGCAGGGGCTTACAGGAACCCCAAGAATGGCGCAGGATTTGGGAGGGTCGAGAGGGGCCATTCTGATCCCCCCTGCTCACCACCAGGAGGAGGGTGTCCGTGTGTCCGTCCTGCTGTTTAAGGAGGTGGAGTTGGCCTTGGGCATTAACAGCGGCTACAGCAAGAGGGCTCTGCTGCTGCTGCACCCCAATGTAAAGGTGACTCCGGTGTCAGGGATGCCCTCAAACACCACAGCTCTCCTTGCCACGCTTCCCCATGGCCCCGACCCTCCCTTTCCTTGAACATCTCGTCCCCCCCACCTTTCCGTCCCCCCCACCCCATCCCTCCCAACGCCTCCCTCCTTCTTCTCTCCCCTAAGCCCGCCATCCTGACCCTCCCCCACACCTGCTGCAGGTGATGCGCCACCCGGACCAGGTGACCCTCTGGGCCCATCATGAGAAGCTTCTGGTCGTGGACCAAGCAGTGGCCTTCCTGGGGGGGCTGGACCTCGCCTATGGCCGCTGGGATGACCTGCACTACCGGCTGACCGACCTCGGGGACCCCTCTGAACCCGCTGCCCCTCAGGTGGTCCCCCAGGGCTTCCCTGAGCCCCCCTAGGTGCAGCGAGCTGAGATGTGCGCCCCCCTCTGCAGCTCCAGCCTCCCCCCCTCCCCCCCCCCGTCACTCTGCATGCTGCCCGCAGGGGTTCCTCTTTCTGGGACCCCAGGAAAGTGCCTGGAAGCCCGCCAGTCCTCTCCCTGGCCCCCACGACCCCTCCCCACTCCCCTGGGAGAGGAAGGCAGCCGAGGGGGAGGGCCAGGGTCGGACTCTCTCTGTCTCATTCTCACTCTCTGTGTCTCTGTGTCTCACACCCTTTCAGTGCTCCTCTCTTCTCTGTGGCCCTGGCTCTGTATGGCCTCCATGACCTGTCCTTGCCCCTGGCTTGGGTGTGTTCCCTACAGCCTCCCACCCCCTGCCCGGAGGCGCAGGCCACCCCAGACCTCTCGCAGAACCAACTCTTCTGGCTGGGCAAGGACTACAGCAATCTTATCACTAAGGACTGGGTGCAGCTGGACCGGCCGTTTGAGGGTGAGGGTCCCCTCCTCCCAAGCCCCCAAAATCTGAGAGCAGGGGCAGACGTGGAGGCGGGGACTGAGAACAGGCTGGGCTGGGTCAAGGATAAGGTAGCCTTCCCTCTGCGTGGCTCCTCCCCCTCCCTGCCCCATTCCCCCGCCGCCCCCCCCCCGTGTCCCCAAGAGGCCACCCCCACTCTCCCGCCTGATTCTCCCGGGACCCCCAGATTTCATCGACAGGGAGACCACGCCCCGGATGCCATGGAGGGATGTAGGGGCTGTTGTCCACGGTCTGGCAGCCCGGGACCTGGCCCGCCACTTTATCCAGCGCTGGAACTTCACCAAGGTGCCCGCGCCCTCCTGCGGGGGCTGGGGGTGGGGGAGGGGCCGCCTCTCACTGACCGCCGGGCTCCGCCGCAGATCACCAAGGCCAAGTACAAGACGCCCACGTACCCCTACCTGCTGCCCAAATCCGCCAGCACCGCCGACCAGCTCCCCTTCACGATCCCGGGGGGGCAGTGCACCACGGTGCAGGTGAGGCCCTCTCTGCGGCCGCTCCTCGCCCCTCCCTCCCGTCCGGTGCCCCTGCCCGGAGAGCCCGCCCCCCCAGACCCCTCCTCCCCTGGGCGCGGGAACCGCATCGCATTCGCCGTGCCCTCCAGGTGTTGAGGTCCGTGGACCGCTGGTCAGCAGGGACGGCGGAGAACTCCATCCTCAACGCCTACCTGCACACCATCCGGGGGAGCCAGCACTTCCTGTACATCGAGGTGTGCGGGGCGGGGGGAGGGGCGGAGATCGGAGGGGACCTCGGGGGCCAGGGCCGGGGAGCCTCGGCCGGGGGCGGCAGGCGGCAGGGGACTGGCAGCCGAGGTCTGTCTTTGGTCCCTGCTCCAGAATCAGTTCTTCATTAGCTGCTCAGACGGGCGGACGGTTCTGAACAAGGTGGGCGATGAGATTGTGGACAGAATCCTGAAGGCCCACAGGTAAGGGGGACGCGCCGAGACCGGGGCTGTGGGCGTGGCTTACGTCCTCGCAGAGGGCGGGGCTTGGGCCGGCCGCACCTCTGACCCCGCCCCCTTCCCAGACTGGGGCAGTGTTTCCGAGTCTACGTGCTTTTACCCCTGCTGCCGGGCTTTGAAGGCGACATCACTACAGGCGGTGGTAACTCCATCCAGGCCATTCTGCACTTTACTTACAGGTGATGTGCCCGCCCCCCCAACCCCCAGCCAGGCTCTGCCCTCTCTGCAGAGAGACCCCGGCCCTGACTGTCCCCAGCCCTTCCTCCTGGACTTCTGAGGTCCACCTCTCTCCTGCCATCCCCCACGCCTCCCCCAGACGCCACCTCCCTCAATGGCTCTCTTCCCCTAGGACCCTGTGCCGTGGGGAATATTCGATCCTACATCGCCTCAAAGCAGCCAGTGAGTGCTGGGGGCCAGGGGGCCGGAGGCCCGGTCATTCTGGCGTGTTTTGGGGGCTACATGTCTGAGACCATGGGCACTTTTACTGCAGGGAGACGCGCATAGACTTTGAAGCAGGGACAAGTCCATCTGCACATGAGAGCACACTCCTTACACACCCACCCCCTCTTTCTCACAGTGGGGACAGCCTGGCGGGACTATATATCCATCTGCGGGCTTCGCACACACGGAGAGCTGGGCGGGCACCCGGTCTCAGAGCTCATCTACATCCACAGCAAGATGCTCATCGCGGATGACCGGACGGTCATCATCGGTCAGGCCTGGGTCTGGGTCCCTGGCAGTGCCAGGAGGGTGGGGAGAGGTGGAGCAGGGCCCAGCGGGGGTGGGGGGGGTGATGGAAGCTGGCTGGTCCCCCCCCGCCCCGGGCTCAGGCAGACTCAGTGCGTCCTGCACCATTGCAGGCTCCGCCAACATCAATGACCGAAGCTTGCTGGGGAAGCGCGACAGTGAGCTGGCTGTGCTGATCGAGGACACAGAGACGGAGCCATCCCTCATGGACGGTGGGGAATATGAGGCGGGCAGGTTTGCCTTGAGTTTACGGAAGCATTGCTTCAGGTAGAGCCGGGGTGGGGTGCTCCTGGGTGTGGCGGGGAGATGGAAGTTGGGAGGGGGTTGGTCTGCCTCTGGGGCAGGTGTGAGGGTTTCCCAATCCAGAAGAGTAGGGATAGCAAAAACATGAGAAACGGGTATTAAATTAAAGAAATCCGAAGCAGGCTGTCAGTACGGAGTCCGGCGCGGGGCTCGAACTCCTGAACTGCGAGATCATGACCTGAGGTGAAGTCGGACACTTAACCCACTGAGCCACCCGGGCGCCCTGAGAAACAGATATTTTAAAAATAACTTGGTATTTTTTTTAAAGCATCAAAAGTCGAGGCCAAAGAAGAGACGAAGTAAAGCTCTGTTGGACTCATTTGCCCTTGTTTCACTGTTTAAGATTGGGTTTATTTATTCATCTTTTAAATGTTCGCTTATTTTTGAGAGAAAGAGACTGAGTGTGAGCAGGGAGGGGGGCGGAGAGAGAGGGAGACACAGAATCTGAACCAGGCTCCAGCTCTGAGCTGTCAGCACAGAGCCCTACGTGGGGCTTGAACCCACGAACCGTGAGATCATGACCTGAGCCGAAGCCGGTTGTTTACCTGATTGGGCCACCCAGGCGCCCCTGCAAGGCTCTCTGAGTGGCGACCCTTCTGTCCCACAGTGTGATTCTCGGGGCACATGCCCGGCCTGACCTGGACCTCCGAGACCCCGTGTGTGATGACTTCTTCCAGCTGTGGCAGGACACGGCCGAAAGCAATGCCAATATCTACGAGCAGGTGGGGGCCGAGCGGGGCTGGCTGGGCGGGAACCCACGCGCTGTCCCCTGCGGGGCGGGGCGGAGAGAGCCCACTGCGGGCGTTCTCAGAAGGGGAGCCTAAGGCGTGGGGGGCACATCGCGGGATGCAGGGTCAGTGGGGGGGCTGTGTGGGGGGGAGCAGGCTCTCGGCCGGGGGTCTCCAAGCCCCTTCCGTGTCTGCCACCCACAGATCTTCCGCTGCCTGCCGTCCAACGCCACGCGCTCTCTGAGGGCGCTCCGGGAGTACGTGGCCGTGGAGCCGCTGGCCACGGTCAGCCCGCCGCTGGCCAGGTCTGAGCTCACGCAGGTCCAGGGCCACCTGGTCCACTTTCCCCTCAAGTTCCTGGAGGATGAGTCCTTGCTGCCCCCCCTGGGGAGCAAGGAGGGCATGGTGCCCCTGGAAGTGTGGACTTAGGCTGCAGCCCGGGCAGCCTCCCCGCCGCTGGGCTCCGCCGAGCTGGGCCCCCCCGCAGCCCTCAGGCCGGAGGGCAGTGCCCCCCGAGACCCGGGCATGCGCAGCCGGAGACGACTAGAGAAGCCACAGAGACCCTTCCTTGCGAGGCAGCTGAAGGGAACACGCTGCCCCTGGGGTGGGGGGCCGGGGGCTTCCCGGAGAGGTTCAGACCACTGTTCCAGGAGAGAGGCCAGCCCCTGCGCATGCGCCCGGGGGAGCCTCCCTCCCCTGTGCCCCCTCCCCCCGCCCCTCGCCCCCTCCCCGCCATCACTTCCAAGGTGGAGGGAAGGATGAAGGCCCTCCTGGCTTCGCCCCTGCGGTGGGCAGGGCAGGGGGGTGTGGGGTGCACACTACTCCCTCCCCTGCCTGTGGACAGACACTAGCTTTGTATCCGTTCAGTGAGCATTTCATAAATAAACGCCTCGTCTAGACAAGGTGCCCGGCTCTTCCTGGGCCCAACGGAGGCCCCCTTCCCGCCCGCACGGGGCCCTGGGGCCCTGCCCCTGCACCCCACCTGCCCCCTGGCCCCTCCTGCGGCCCCATCCCCACTGCACCCGAGTTTCGGGAGCCCTGTCACCCGGGAAGAAGACGGCGGGGCCGGGCCACACCGGGACGCCCAGAGAGCCTGGGAGCACGGAGAGGCGCCCGGAGGGGACGAGGGGCCCGGGAGCCCCTGTGCGAACGGCTAAGGGTACAGGCTTGAGGGCAGGCGGAGCTGGGCCCAGATCCTGCGCTTGTCATCGCCCAGCTGACCTCGCCAAGTCACATCACTTCTCTGGGCCTCAGTGATTCCAGCTGGGAAATGGGAACCATTCTTGCATAAATGGCTCACTGCAAAGATGTGGTCGCTGATTTAAAGATTTGCGGCGCATCCGCCATCTGTCACACGCTGTTCTAGGAAGTGCTTGGTGGCCACTCGTGCCAGGGGTTAGGACCGTGTACGTCACCGCACAAAGTCCCCCTGGCCAGCGCCACCGCAGAGGGAAGAGAGACAACGCAAAGCCGACCCTGCGGTAAAGTGCGTCGCGTGAGGTTCTGGCTTCCCAGGGCGCGTAGAAGTCAGGTTCACATTCTCCGTCTGTTTTACTTTCACGCGCTGAGGAGCTGTTTTCTGACAGGTAAACCTTGTCACGGCCATGAGTTCCGTTGCTCTGGATTAACACAGACACACGTGCCATGAAAGCGTAACATCACAAAAAAAGGTGATGTTGACGCTTTACTGTAGTCTATTAAGTGTTGCGTCTCAAAAAAAAAAAATCAATGTACATACCTTAACTAAAAAATATTGCCGGGGCGTTTGCTGGCTTAGTTGGAGGAGCATGTGGCTCTTGATCTCGGGGTTGTGAGTTCGAGCCCCGTGTTGGATGTAGAGATTACTTAAGTAATAAGTGAACTCAAAAATTTTGGTTTTTAATTTTTTTTAATGTTTATTTTTGAGAGAGACACAGAGCATGAGCAGGGGAGGGGCAGAGAGAGAGAGGGAGACACAGAATCTGTGTCTGGCTCAGACCTGGCTGAACCGGAGGTTCAACTGACTGAACCACCCAGGTACGGCTCAGGTCATGATCTCATAGTTGGTGAGGTCGAGCCCCCAAGGGGCCCTCTGCTGTCAGCACGGAGTCCCCTCTCTCTGTCTGCCCTTCCCCCACTTGTGCTCTTTCTCTGCCTCTCTCAAAATAAATAAACTTAAAAACCGTTTTTAATGACAAAAATAAAAAATATTGCTAAACATCATTTGAGCTTTTGGAGAGTCAGAGTCAAGGATCACCGATCACCATCGCAAATAGAAGGATGAAAAATTTGAAATATCGCGAGAATTTCCAAAGCGTGACACAGACACACAAAGTGACCAAATGCTGCTGGGAAAATGGCACCAACAGACTTGCTCGACGCAGGGTTGCCACAAACCTCCCATTTTTATTTATTTATTTCAAACAATTTCTTTTAATGTTTATTTCTTTTTGAGAGAAAGAAACAAAGTGTTAGCGGGAGAGGGATTGAGAAAGAGGGAGACGCAGAATCTGAAGCAGCTCCAGGCTCTAATCTGTCAGCACAGAGCCTGACACGGGGCTCGAACTCACGAGTGGTGAGATCATGACCTGAGCTGACGTTGGACGGCACCCAGGTGCCCCATGTAATCTTATTTTTTTTTAATTTTTTAATGTTTATTTTTATTCTTGAGAGAGAGGGAGAAAGAGAGGGAACATGAGTCGGGGAGGGGCACAGAGTCTGAGAGAGGGAGACACAGAATCGGAAGCAGGCTCCAGGCTCTCAGCCGTCAGCACAGAGCCCGACGCGGGGCTCGAACCCGCGAACCGTGAGATCATGACGTGAGCCGAAGCCGGATGCTCAACCCACTGAGCCACACAGGCACCCCCCACGTAATTTATTTCTTTTTTTTAAATTTTTTTTAATGTTTTATTTATTTCTAGGAGAGAGAGAGAGAGAGAGAGACAGCGTGAGGAGGGGAGGGTCAGAGAGAGTCACAGACTCTGAAACAGGCTCCAGGCTCTGAGCTGTCAGCACAGACCCCGACGCGGGGCTCGAACCCACGAACCGCGAGATCACGACCTAAGCGAAAGTCGGATGCTTAACCGACGAAGCCACCCAGGCGCCCCCCATGTAATCTATTTCTTAAGCTAAGTGGTGGGTCAAGGAAGTTGTAAGATATATAGTCTTATCTTTTCCTGCATCTGAACTGGTTTGCAGTTAGGAAACAAGGTGAGCGCAGGTCCTGGCTTTTGCCCGTTATTCCCTCCGCCTCACTCCCCAGTCTTGGGACCGACCACCGGAGACCACCGGAGACCACCGGAGCGGGGAGGCGCGGAGGTGGGCAGGGCAAGCAGTTTAGGAAGGCTTTCTGGAAGAGGGGGCATGTTTGGAGGACTACGTGGAGCGAGGGGAGGCTTGCCGCCTGGCTCCCAGCCTTTGAGTCCAGCCCTCCTTTCCTCTGAAGAAGCCACTGCCACAGAAGAAATCCCCCTCCCACATCCAGCGGTCCCCTGGTACTAATTGGCATTATGCTAATTAGCCTCATTGTCAGCAGTAAGTGCTTCTTTCCCTGGGGGACCTTTACCTCATTAACTATGGAGGAGGGTGGAGGAGGGCGGGGGAGACGGCAGCTGCCCCAAGGGGCGCTGGGGCTGGGTGCCTTCCTGCATCTCTCGGGGGCGGTGGCGGGCCATCTGCACCACCCCCCAACCCCACATCCGCCCTGGACTTTCCTGAAGGGAGGCCACCACAGTGCAGGGGGGAAGGCAGTGGGCTTGGGGCCAGAGGAAGAGAGCAAATCCAGCCTCCCACGGTGGCTGAGGGCGCCGGAGCCTGTGTGAGATGTTCAGCCCTCCCGAGGGGTCCTGTCATTTGTCTGACCTTGAATAGTTTCCCTTTCCTCGAAGTCTGATCCAGGGGTTTCTCTACCACATCGTCTCTAAGTTTTTATTACGGACGGTTTCTTGTATACACAAAAATGACAATATGGGGGCGCCTGGGGGGCTCAGTCGTTGAACGTCCAACTTGGGCTCAGGTCATGATCTCTGGGTTCATGGGTTCGAGCCCCGCATCGGGCTCTGTGCTGACAGCTCAGAGCCTGGAGCTGCTTCCGATTCTGTGTCTCCCTCTCTCTCTCTGCCCCTCCCCCGCTCATGCTCTGTCCCTGTCTCAAAAACAAACTATTAAAAAAAAAAAAGACAATATGAACCTTCACGTATCCATTATGTCCGTACTCCAGCTTCAATTATTATGAGTACGGGGGTCAGTCCCATTTCTTTGCACGTCCCACCTTCCAAATCGCACTGCTTTTTAAGGTTTGAGGGCCACCCTATTCTTTTTTTTTTTTTAAATGTTTTATTTATTTCTAGGAGAGAGAGAGAGAGACAGCGTGAGCAGGGGAGGGTCAGAGAGAGAGGGAGTCACAGACTGAAACAGGCTCCAGGCTCTGAGCTGGCAGTCAGCACAGAGCCCGACGCGGGGCTCGAACCCACAAACCGCGAGATCATGACCTGAGCGAAAGTCGGACGCTTAACCGACTAAGCCACCCAGGCGCCCCGAGGGCCACCCTATCCTTGTGATCTTCATTTGCTCATTCATTGATCAGTATCTCCCCCCCCTTTTATTAATGTTTATTTATTTTTTGAGAGAGAGAGAGTGAGAACACAAGCTGGGTAGGGGCAGAGGGAGACAGAGAGAGAGGATCCAAACTGTGAGAACATCACCTGGACCGAAACCAAGAGCCGCTTAACCGACGGAGCCGCCCAGGTGCCCGGATTCAGAGTGTCTTTGTTAAACACAGCCGATAAGCCGGGTGTAAGTAAACTAATTGAGGACCTAGGATATGCCAAGCGCTTTACGTATCTAATTTTATTTTGTCCTAAGCTCCCTATTATCTCTACTTTATAGACGACAGGATGAAGTCTCAGAGAGATTAATGACTTGCCCAAAGCACTAACTTCAAATTCTGCTTTTCCCTGCAGAATGCACGGTCTTGATCTTGCATTACCATAGATCCCAGCGCCTGCCCAGATAACAGCGGGCCTCAGTCACCTACGTGACACTGAACCTCTCACGGGCGCCAAGACCTGTGCTGAACAAGGCTGACGTGGCTCCTACCTTTAAGGGGAGTCAACACTTGAAAGCGTCAAATGTTACCATGCATGTAAGCCGGGCAGCTAAAACAGAAGAGCGAAACTCAGCCCTAGTGGGTCCAAGGAAGGCTCCTCGGAGGAGGTGATTTAGACACAAAGGACAAACTTAGCAAAGGGCAGTGAGAGTGGGCACGGTCAGAATATTCCGGGGTGAAGAAACAGCAGGTGCACAGGCCGGAGGAGGGTCTGTTGAGTTCCGGCCACTGTGAGTTCAGCATGGCCAGAATACATATGTGAGATTGAATGGCAGAGGGGCGAAAAAACAAGGCAGGAGCAGCGGGCAGAATCTTGAAGGGTGTTTGGTGCCATAGTGCATTCAAAAGACAGGGGGGAGGGGTGCAGTGAAGGGTCTTAAACATGACAGTGACATCACATGAGATTTAGGGAAATCACTGTGGGTACGGAAAGTTGACTTAACGGGGTCCAGGAAGGGAGACCAAGAGTAATGGAGGTAAGTGGGGATGGTGGCTTGGACAAGGGCAGTGACAAGGTAGTGACAAGGAGTGGAGGGGGGCAAAACTGGACGTTCATACGAATGTGCCAAAGGGAAGGTTCCAGAAAGGAGGATGTCGACCC